CCCAAAACAATCGTTTTACTTTAGTATGGTATATTCTACCCTTGTCATATACAGTATTTTTTAAATACAAACATAGCTCTTGCCATCTAGTACATTTCTACACAATAATATTGTTTTTTAATAATTTTTAAGCGACTAAGCCACGATCAATAGATGGAACAAATTTATTAAGGGATATTAACTCCTCCGGGTATCAAATTTATTAAGAAACTCATATTTTGGATCTTTATTTAAGTTATATTGCTTTTTCTACGACGAAATCTTCCAACTTTAAGTATTCTTTTCTTTTGGTTCTCCCAAAGCGTTGACAAAACAGATGGGTGAAAATTAATAAATTATTACCAAGTGGGGACTAATTAAGGGAACAAAATAATACTAATAAGTATGTGAAAAATACTATGTGATATATGGTACAAAGAGGTCATGCGATATAAGTGGGGAGTCTGGGGACTATGGTACTAATTATGGAAACGATAACTATGTGAAAAATACTGTATTGAATGACCTCAAAACCAATTAATTATTCAAGTTCTTTCTTAATCAAGCTTTAATCATTTTACAGCTCGTGTTAAGGACGGTGTGTACAAGGCCCAGGAACTCTGGCAGCACATATGCTTCGTCGGAGGTATGCCGTATAATTGACTATAAAATTAGTGTTCTAAAATACGTTATGCTCTAGTCAGATGATGACCACAGTACAACATATAAAAATACGGGAGTTTGTGTAAAATATGTACGATTTATAATTGTTTGTAAACATAGTAGATATCTATTGTTTCATACTATCACAAAATATCAAAAAAAAAAACTTAAGTAATTAATATTGGAATAGAAGTTTTAACTCCAATGACATAGTTGAAAATTTATTTCAAGTAAAAAAAAAAAATTATTAAATCATTTATGAGATGAAAAACTTTTTCACTCCTATTATCATGAGTATAATTTAGACGAACAATCTAATTTTCATTAGTTCATGAAAAAAAGGCAGAAAACATCATTTTATTTATAAGAAAGAGAGTTTAACATTTGAGTTCGCCCTAGAGAGATGTACTCTTTGTCCCTGGTCCCGAGACAGCCATTGTCAGTGTGTATGGCTAGCGGTTTGACTCGTCCGATCTGCGCTAGGAAGCGGACTCCTTTTGCCGGTATGCTTCCTCACCGGAGAGATCCTTCCCTCCGACCTCTTCCCCTCCCTCTCCCCGGAATGGTTTCGTTTGAGCCCTTGGCTCTTCTCCCATCTGCGCCATCCTCCGCCCCCCCCTCCTGTGATGGCGAGATGACAGAGATTCCACAGGCGAGACCATCTCCTCCACCTAACACGCCGGACCCGCCAGATCCATCCCCTTCACCGCCGCGATCGCTCAGCCTCTCCACTCTCCACCACCGAACGACACCGGATCTAGGCGGCTCCTACGATGCATCAATGGCGGCTACCCAAGCCACTACCATCTTCATCACCGCCGATTACCAGTTTCAACCGGCACCTCCGCCGGCGATGGTTCTCCCGTTAGCGAACACTCTATGGCCCCTCCTCCTCCTCCCTGCCCAACCTTTCTGACGCCTCAATTGGATCACCGATGATGGTCTGAGCAAGATACGCCGCGAAAACCGGCCGGTTCTCGTGCTCACCGCCGCTGCCGGCTTCGCCCAATGAGATTGCGGATCCGACCTAATCCATCACGAGAAAAATGTATGCAGCTTGGGCTTGGCCCATTTGGTGTAAAACTTGGGCTTGGCTCATTTGGTTTTTAACTTGGGCTTGGCCCAGATGGATGTTGAGATCATTTAATCCTCTAGGCCCACTGCTTAATAATTTTGAGCCCAATTTAGTTGTTGAATTGTATTTGGTTATGTGTTCATACTCTCCATCAACCTTATTTATGGATGTGTATGATACTTTATTAGGACTGTTATCGGAACCATATCTATGCTCTCATCGATTTTATATGCTTTTGAACTTATTGGTTTCTCTTTTATGAGAAGCTCAAAGTTTTCTGGATTCTCAAATCTTGTAATCTCTTCCCTCTCATTGAGAGCGGTCGTATCTTCACCTTTTCTCTTTGAGAATGAGTGTTTTCCCGAGTTTTGCACCAGGAACCCCTTAGAATTTCCTCACCGATTTGCTTTCTTACGTAGCCGTACTTTCGGGACCAAAAGAAGCAACCGGGATCGTCTTGACGTATACCGGAGTTAGAAGTTTGATTTCAACGCCACAACTGAAAGTGACCACTTTGAGGATTTTCGGCTTTGTCGAGAAGACCTTTTTGACGTATCCAATGCATGCCTTGGATTCGCTGTCCATCTTTCGCGATGAGTTATCTATCTTATGCTTAATTAAGTTTAAATTATGGTGTATTAGTGGTCGATGATGTTTAAGTCCCTCCTTTTGTATTGTGAAAATTTATTGAATGAATTAAGAGTGTGAAAAAAAAAAACCTCATTTTATTTGGAAAATTTATATGCCAAAACCTTATGTACGGTTATTGAATTGCTGTATATGCGGTCCTTTTGTTTTTAAATATGCTAAGCGTAAATACCGTACCATATATCGCATGTACGATACTTGAAATTACTTTTTCAACATTCATAAATCCCTTATCTTATAAAACACAAGTGAGAGAGACCTTTTTTTAGTCTCATACTTACACCTCATCAAAACATATACGTGTCTCATCCATAAATTTCTATATTTATTGCTTTTAAAGATTTTCTTAAAGATTTTCAAGATACACGTTGGTTAACAATAAAAATAAAATATCTAAAAATTCCTAAATTTTCTCATCTAATACTCCACGATTACACGATCCCTAAAACTGTTTCAACATATTCGTCTTCTACAACAATTGAAATCTATTTTATTCCTCGCTAAAGAAAGAAAACATGAAAACAGTTTCAGAAACATAGAATGGAGAAATAAAAAATTGGAGAAATCTCTACCATCACCACAACGGCTTCGATTAAGTGAGGGAGGTTGAAAACTATCTCAAGTTTTTATTTATTGTTCGTTGCAGAGATTTTCGAATACTGTTTTGATAAGAATCATAATATATTCATCTAAAATCGTTTCATGCAGGGTAACTCTCCCTTCTATTTTCTGCTACTTTTCTATTTATCATATAATTCATTAACCTTAGGAAAAAAATTGCAGATTCTCACGCATCTACTCCATCATTTTTTTAGAATACATGAGATACTGTTTATAACTTTTATATTTCTCACTTACATCTTCTCCCTA